TCGATCAACATGGTCAGAGAATATGGATTCAATTTTAGCAATATTCTAGCAATATGGAGGCAAGGGACACAGGGCTACGTACATTGTACCATGACTAGCATGAGAGAGATCAAACCACGGTTCTCACCATGGAAAGCAAATGTTTTAACCAGGATGCTACCTAACTGCCACTATCGGCATTGTTTAATTTTTATTTGCACCAGTAACCTTAACTGAGATCTGCAACAGAGTTGCACTTTTCACAATGGTAAAAGTGGTAGTCCTTCCTGAACTTTTCTAGTCATGAGTCCAGTCTGTTTAGTCCAGTACTAGTCCAAGTGAAACTCTGTATTGTCTAGTAAGCTTAGCTACTACCTGTCTCTATAGCAACACTAAAATATACTGAAAAATAAAGCCTTGTTTGGTCTTACAGACTTAAAAGTCTTTGGCACAGACTTCTAGTCCTAGGGGGCGGTCGGGTAGCCTAGTGGTTAAAGCGTTTGCTCGTCACGCCAAAGACCTGGGATCGATTCCCGACATGGGTACAATGTGTGAAGCCCATTTCTGGTGTTCCCCGCCATGACATTGCTGGAATATTGCTAAAAGCGCTGTAAAACCATACTCACTCACTCACTCATTATTAGTCTTGGACTTCTGTTAATTTAAAACCCTGATGGGTAGAGAGGAATGAGAACAACTAACAGCAAACTCTTCACGACAACATGATCACATTTCAATACTCAAAACAAAAGGTAAGTGAAGATATCAAAGTATTCATTATTAACATAATTCTGCATGTAATCAATACTTTGCATTATGACATCAAATTTTTCACTGTATCATTTGTCTTTGACAACTTAGTTGATGAAAAACATATTCCAAAGCTTAAAACCAGTACATGTTAAATTGACTAATAGAACGTAATGAAGCACAGCACTCCATATGGAAGAAGATAGATGACACTACACCAGCATAATGACATTTCCTGAAACATATCACCGAACATAACAAAGCTGTTTCTGGGACACACTGGCATAACACAAGCGAAACCTGACACCGAGCAGAAGAAATTTGTTGCTGTCACTGCAGAGGAAGCGCTGAGTCTCATTACTGCAGTAACACAGGTCCGTTTCCATGGCAACTACAACAACATTTTCTTGTTATGACACAATGCAGGGAGGCAACGTACAGCACTTACAGACCTTGAGAACACGCACTGTGTGCATTGCTCATCTTGTTAATTACAAAATCGACAACTGAAATTCGACACATAGCTCATTATGACATGATATTGACAGCAGCCCTAGGTAGCTTGCAACATATGTTTTGAAACATACAGCCCTTCTCACTCGTATTTTTTTAAATAAAGGTATGCGCAAAATATGATTTAGGATAAACATATTTTGTTTATCATGATTACTTTCAAAGATGAGTTTCAGCACATGAAATGTTTCACCACTGACAGCCTTAGGAACTGTGTTGTGCGAGATAGTAATTGTATACTCATTATTCTACCCTGAGACTTATGGATATTCTTTCTTTTTAGCTTAATTGTATGTTATTTGCAATTTCTATACCATTTCATAACTTCAGACTGGCTATTGAATAGGACCCACCCCTTTTATGTAAATGAGATATTGATATTATAGTGCCTTTTATCATGTATATAAAAACGTATAACATAGTGCGATAACGCGATTTAACATCGCGTCCAAGATTATTGCACTTATATAGCGACGTGCATGTACGTGCGTGTGTTTGTGTGGCTGCTTGTACTAGTCAGGACTGATGCCGATTTATAGTGCTAGCTCACTGAGATACCATGCCGCATGAATATCCCACTCAGACACAGTATACTGACTCCAAGCCAACCAGTCCTGGTTTTAGTCCCTTAATTCCGAGCGCCAGACAGGGTAACAACAAGTACCATCTTTTAATGTCTTTTGGTATGACGTGGCTGGGGATCGAACCCCGGCCCTTCCGCTCTCCGGGCGGACGCTCTACCACTAGACCACGGAGGCGGTATTTTGGGGCCATAACATAATGATACTTCAGTGTTAGAAATCAGTTTTCACCATTTCCCAAAGAGATTCTGCTACAGGCTTCAATCTGCCTTTGGGAAAATTGGTAGTTTACAAGGAAATGGCACCTGGTTTTTACTAGCCTTGGGCAAGCAGACTTACGCTTACTTCAAACCAAGGATCATATCTGGATCATAACTGGATCATATGCATATCAGCAACTTTCACAATCTGCTGACACAAACACAATTTTTTTCAGTTTCAGTTACAGTTGATGATAATGCAACAGCTGCCAACCAAATGATAACTGTCATTACATATACATGCACCCACTGCATCAGGTGCCTTAATGAAGAACATGCAACTGCTGGCTCATCAAAAGATCAAATAATTGACAACTGCTCATTTGCCCTGCCGTCACATGGCTGGAATATTGCCTAGGGTGACAATGGTGGTGAAGTATTGATACAATCCTGCACAAGAACTCCAGCCCAGCATTAACAGCAGTTCTAGCACACTGCCAAACATTTCCCGGTATCATCACAAGAAAATCACAGGTATCTTTTAAACACATTCAAAGAATTTTTCCTGAATATTTTGCTATGCTTACTGGGAATTCTAGCTGCATGAGCCCTATCATAGAGCTTTGTTCATTGAGACATTCCTGGTGCCCTATAAAACAGCTTCATAGAAAACATCCATTACAAGAAGGTCACGTCAGAGGAATCTGAATGTCAGGTGGCCTACAAGATAAAGAAAAACTGGACTTGGTTCAAGTTCCAGGCACCATAGACATGTTTCAATACATTGGGCGAGTGGAGAACTTTGTAAGAAAAGGAAATTCCTGCAAGCTGACAAACAGTACCACAGACTCATCAAACCCATATTTCCAAATGGACAATATAAGTCAGTGATAGGTTTGTTGCGATTTTCTGATCTAATCATTTTGATTGTTGATGTTCTGATGTTCGAATAGAATTACGAAAATTGGTTCAGAATCTAAATATTCTGTTGCTCTCTCCTACCTCAGCTGTCACATGTGTGAGACAGACATGACGTTACTCTGGAATGCTACATCATGATACAATGGATGACGTCATCAAGGTCATACGTCTCTGTGACAACTGAGCCTGCTTCATCAGTTGAATGCAGAGCATGAACAGCTACATAGAACTTGTTCTCATAAATATTTATCACAATTGGTAAACAAAATATGCAGTATCCATGCAACATATTTCAAATTCGAAATATAGAAAAAAATTCATGCACAGTATAAAGGCTGGAAGATTTCCACTTTTCAAATCCCATTTGACAACGTTTTTACAGCACAAAGTCCAATTCATTTTACAAAATAGAATTGATGGAACGTCTACAGACACGTTCCTTACAGCTGTGTGCAACAGTGGCAAAATCTGCAATCGATACAAGAGAGAAGTCAGATCATATGTCTACCATCACCGTCCATTTCTATGAAATATGATTCATTATACTCCACAGAATCATTAATAACTAGAAGAATAATTGGAATCTTTATCACACGAGACACCAATGAATATAAAACCATGAAATACATAACAAAACGCCTGTGTCAATTTCAGTGCATCTCACAGTCTTAGTCATATGGGACATCAATGACAGGTGCATGATATGTATATATATCCGACATATGATTCGAAATCTACATCATTCTGCTTGCAGCATGATGGGTAGATTCATACAGGGTTTTCATTACATAAAATACACATAATGGATGACCCAAAGGCTTCTATAAAGGTATTAATGAGAAAGGGTAAACTTATTTCTCTGTGATTCAATCCATCAAGTATCTAATGATGGAGACATGGATCAATGAAATTGACATCATTAATCAGATGTGTAACCAGTACTAGCATGACTAGAACATCACAAAAAAGCTACCTTGACCAGCAAAACTGCCTTGATCATTCTGTTACTGCTGATAAAAAAACAAACCTAGAGATATATATTCTTCCAGCCTATATATCTTTATGATGTAGCTGGTGTAATAACCATTGGTCATTTCAAAGTAGTATGCAGGTTATTTCTGACAAGTATCTTATGTAACATAACAAGGTTTGTGGATAAACAACAAGTCCCTCAAAATTTTCACAAGTCTCGGACTAATGGACCAGTAGTTCCATGTCTCCCTGATGTAGACTACCAGTGCCTTCCATGACGGTTTTGATCACAACCAAGTTACAGTGATTTCAGTGTTAGATATCTAAATACATACCTTTAGTGAAAGCAGGTTATGATGAATATTGATTATTACAATAATGGTAACACAGGCCTATTTCTAGGTGTACTCTATGTTGATATTTGATTCCGAGACTACAGCAAATGTCAGCAAAAATGTCCACTTGACGTCCGCATGTTCAGTTAATGCAAATGACATTCTTATGCTTTAACTTTACAAAGATGGCATGTCTTAAACAAAGGAATTAATACTTTATAACTTTGAAAGCCATGAAATACCTAATCAGCAACCCTTTTGCTAGACTAACATCTAATCTCTGAAATGAACATATCTTACAGAAAAAGAAAGTTGTTAAAATATCTTAATATAAATAAAATAAAAAGGAGCCCAGATACCGCAGTAATCCAGATTGCTAAACATTATAGACTTGCATTGGCTGTATTGGATATATTTGTATCAGACTTTGACAGACTACCCTTTTGCACGAAACACTTTTTCACAAATTATTTAGCCAGGAACTTAGTTGAAAATCCCTGGAATAGCTTTACCAGAAAAACATGTTAACCAGATGTCCACCCTTTCCTTGCATACTGTATAGCAACACACATGAATCAATGAATGTCATATATACCTTTGACAGTACTGGTAAACATTCAGGAACCAGCACAACTGTCATGTAGCATATTGATTTGATGTTGAAATGTCCTAAGGTTACAAAACATACAGCCATTATATACATCTGAATAAAAAAGCTCCATTAGTGTAACTGTTCACAAATAACTTACCTGGGGATATTTCATCTTGAAAAATGTTTCTAGATTTTCATATAAATGTGGATCTACTCCAACTAAAGGTTTTAAAATTGATACTGCTGGAAGCTCTTCTGCTACATACGGGGGAAGCTTGTGAGATAACCTCCATTTTCTGAAATACAAAAGAAAAAGAGTCATTCATACACTTCATAATAAAGAAACTCTAGCTTTACAAGCACACATATCATATGCTGCAGGGTATAGTTTTCATTGATGAAACGAGATGAAAACAAAATGATAGCTACAATGTTCGCATGTAATAATCCGATGTAACATTACAGAATATAGATGGATTATGTTATGCCCCAAGGTCAAAAACACAGGACTTGTATTCATAAACCTCTCATGAAGGTACTGACTGATCTAGGCTTGATCACACACAAAGGCCATTGAACCGTTATCTGACCAGTGCGAAGTATAGGCACAATACTCAGCCATAATGCTCAATAATGCTTTTCTCAAGGTTAACAAACCTCTACACATGTTTCCACAAAGTTTTCTGTACATGTCTTATGAGTGTGACATTATTAAAACGCTTCCCAAACATTATTGGTCTGAGACATATAATTGAGCTGAAACAATGCAATTCTGAGTGAGTGAGTGAGTATGTTTTTTACACCGCTTTGTGGTTTGGCAATATTCCTGCAATATCATGGCGGGACACCAGAAATGAACTTCACACATTGTACCCATGTAAGGAATCAAACCTGGGTCTTTTGCATGATGAGCGAACGCTTTGACCACTTGTCTAGCCGACCCCCCATGCAATTCTGAAGTCACTTCAGTGTGACGACATGATACATACTGATCGTGTATTATGGCCTTCCGATACGGAAGATCACGATATGATAAAGATCACAACACACTAGATATGATACAGCTCATTTCTCAATACATCAGAATTACAACACAAAGATTATGAACTGAAATACTTGTGGATTTCAGATGAGAGAAACAACAGCATTAGACTCCATTTTTTCCATGTACTTCTCAAAAAGTAACCCAAATGATCCCAAACAGATGATTTGCCAGACACCTTTCAAGTTCACATTTAAGGTTATTCTTTTGATAAGTATGTAAAAAAGAGTATTTTGTATTGTCATGTACGGTGATACATGTACAGGTCCATGTGTATCTTGTATCATACTGATGGAACATTGCTGAGTTTGGCGTTCAACAACAAACAAACAAACAATAGGGAAGGTAGGTCTTTTTTTCTTCTTAATTTGTTTTCTTTGAAAAATAAACACAATACGACTATCAAATTAACATACTTATGATACAGCTATGAATTAATTCAGTCAGAACAACAGAAAACACACACGTTATGTTTTTGGCTTTATTTTCTAACAGTGTCTATTGTTATACAAAAGTGCAAAACCATGAAACGTAAACATAGGAAGTGTTACCGGTACGCCCCACTGCAGTCCCATTCCTTCTATTGATATGACATGACATGACATAATTTCTGGAGGAAAATGTCAACCAACCTAAACTAGACATAGTATCAGGCCATGGCATAGCTAACAGTTTGGTCATTGTACCCTAGATCTATAGGCGATGACTGGAGGATTTGCATGGGACAATAAGAGCCTCACAAAATCTGATTAGTGATCAATCACCTCGTATACTAGTATTACTACTAGCACCAGATAGCCATAGATCTTAATCAGATGATACATGCCTCCAGCAGAATTATTCAATGCTCATTATACCCAAGTAAACCTCAAGGCCAGTCAAACTTTATACACTTAATGTGATTTACTTACAAACTTAATTGAGGTTGATCGTGCAAGCAGGTAAACATCAATACTAGTTGAACCAAATTGTAAGCATTGCAAGTATGCCCTACATATACCCGAAGTCTGTTTATTTTGCAACTTTGACAGAAAACAATTCTGTAGTTACAGACTACTGGTATTTATATGGAACAGATAAATGACAGTCATATGAAAAACTGAGTGTTCTTAACTTCTTTTTGAGTAGTATAATCTATGAGGCTATTGCCCAAAAGCAAAGGTTTCTACAAAATACAAATATGAAAATTGAGCTGGATTAACACAACTTACAAACAAAAATAATACTTTAAGTTGCCTTTAGCTTCTTAATCATGTCAATTACAATGAAACCATTTTCACATGTCTGTCTTCCAGAGCAGCTACCTAGATAATGAAATCGTTTCTATTTATCTGAAAAGTTGAAGAATGGAATTGTCTGTATTTATCAGCAGTGTTTCTCTACTTCGCAGATGTGAAAATCTATAAATTCCATTGGTAAATGAGTTTCCATCAGGAAGTGTGCTCTGTAATCAAGAGCGAGACAGGTAATAACGGTGATCACTGCACTCTAATAGTACGGCACCAGTCATTATGGGCTATTGAACATACACACACCATCAACACAGACAATGAAATTAAGCAGCATCGCCCTCGATCAGTTTGGCTTTAACAATTCACTGAAGCATTGGTGCATCACGATACTACGTGCAGTGATACACAGTGATCAAAATTAAGGGGAATCCTGGGGTCTTTGAGTTTCACTTATTTCATCTAGGGACCCCTTTAATCTTTACCTTTTCACATTGGAGCCATGACAAAGACATCTGGGCCCACTTGCACAAAGCGATCTTAGCGCTATGACTATTGTAAGCCTATGTTAAAGTATGGGAGTGATCATCTTAGCGCTAAGATCACTTTATGCATTTGGGCCCAGGACATTTAAGTTTAATTTTGAACACAACATACATTTATAATTATAAACATAATAATACAATGTAATAATGTTCACTATATATGAACACTATATACATTTATAATTATAAACATAATAATACAATGTAATTATGTTCACTTTATATGAACACTATATACATTTATAATTATAAACATAATAATACAATGTAATAATGTTCTCTGCTTTGGCTACTAAATAGGCCACCCAAGTTTACACTTTTACAACTACACTTTGCTTTTTATCTCCACTTTCGAATGCTAGATACTATAAAAGTCCAGTTTCCACCCTTGTCTAACAAGACTGGAATTTCCATACTCGATCGTAGAGCAAGCAGTGGCTATTACGAGTTATGTCCCTTCTATGTCCCTCCTATATTGACCAATAAGATGCCATCGCTCATATCGCTTGCATTTGCTTCAAACAAAATGGTGGCGCCCAGTCAAGTACTGATCAATAATCAAGACCTATATCATGTATATTGTAACAAAACCGATCTTACCCTATGAAGTGCATCTAATCACTTGAGTACCTTGATTTAAAACATGAAAAGATTTGGAAAATATCTGTCGACACCCAGTTGACGGTACACATACTTTGCAAATCCTGCAGTCGACAGACATCTGCACACACAAACCCATTTTGTTTATGAACCGGATGTCTAGTTCATTACATGATTTTGATTGGACTATGCATAGACTCATTAGTCCAGCCAAACTGTAACTCCGGAATTCCAGCCTAGTTCTACAAGGGTGGAAACTGGACTTTTATAGTCAGTTAACTGCCTTGACTCAGGAAGATGAGTGTTTATTTCACAAAATAAGTATTTATGATGCTATTATTTTGCTGTTACTATGGTTACACATCATTGACTTCTGAGCCAACTTTTATATTTTATTCCCCTGTCACCTGGACTCCCTGACCCAACTATCTGACAAAATATGCTGAGTTAGGAAATAGCTACCACACATAAAACAGGTAATGACACCTAAAATGACAACATGTACTCCTGAATTACAAATCATATCGAAGAAAGATTTCTTTTCATCAATAGTTATACACTATCTTTTAACCACATTTCAGTGAAAAACCCAAAATTAAAGTATTGCCTTACACAAACTTGAAGTAGTCATGGTAATATCTGGCCCCTGCTATTTCATGTTGAACAGCTGGGTAGTGTTGGTAAGTAGATTAAAATATCCATGATGATAAAATAGCTGAAGTTCCTGTGGTTATGTCAATCTAACAAGTTATCTGTGTACATTTCTAGGGCGTTCCATGCTGGGATAACCTCATGTGACACTCCTCGGCTTAAAATAACAAACACAAGCGTATCGCTGCAACAAACAGTTCTTCAAAAGCAATGTATGGATTCTAAATAAAACCTGTACATAAAACATAGCGTGAAAAATCTTTGTCACGATTAATGAAATCTTTTATGACACTTAGTCACTATAATTTCAATTGAGAATAATTATGTTTCTTTTCAACTATTGTTTTATTTATTATTATATTATAATATTTAATTATTTTTTAAAAACTGAAAGCTAATAACCATGATTAGTTATTGCTACTTTGTTACATCAACAAAATTAAAATACATTATTTACCATAACGTTGTTGTATACCATCAATAAGTGAGTGTTTGTGGTGTTTTTTTATATCCAAAACATATTGATCTTACATTCTAGAAGTTTTACTTTTCAAGTACAGTTAGTTGCTACACTTGTGCCAATCTACATCCATACATAAGTAACATGTATTTATGTTTCAAACAAAAAATGAACTCTGAAACAATTAATCTATCCCTAATTAAATAATTAATTAATTAAGAAATCCATATCAGCATTACCCTCTTCAATCAAAGTGCAAGTCCTCATTAATATAATGATAATGATGAAGATTTATTTAACTAGCCTAGATACAAAATGTACAACATATTTTTAAATTTATTGAAAAATCAATACAAATTCATTCCTTGTTTTAGTTACTATAGTGATAATAATGACGGGATACGTTGTACTGTAGTCAAGAACAAGTTAATCCCCTAATGCGATTTTTTCGAACAAGCTGCTAGTACTTTCTGAGGCGCTTAGCGTAATTCCACCTAAATCAACCGATGAAAACAACTCGTAGTAACTTGGTTCTACCGGCGTGCCAAACCCTGCCCTGCCCTGCCCACTTTCCGTGTCAACATAATCAGTATGATGATTTAATGGAGAAAACAACCAAACACATCAACACAAATTCTAAACGACAGAAAATGAATGAAAATTATCTTTAAAACTTATTCAAAAGACTATAGTATGATGAGATTCCACAGAAAAGACAAGATCGTTCGACAAACATACGAACTCGTCAGCAATGCGAGCAAAAGGCGTGAGTGAAGTTATTTGCAACTGTCAAACGTATTCGGTCAGTCAAATCGTTAAATAAAGGCGATCACAAAAGGGAAATGAAATAAATGTTGAAAACTTACCCATATACGATTGCAAATATATGTAGAAGCCAATTTATGCACCAACTAGCGAAAATAACTACAGCTAATCCACATATCGTGTAGTCTACCGGTGCCATTTTACTCCAAATGGAGCAGCCGCGCTTTCCCACAATGCTCTCGCTGAGGAGGATGAGATAACTTCCGCCTGACCCCTGACCTATTTCAGCTAAGTCGCAGGTTGTTTATAGCAACGGTCAACCAATTTGAATTATCGCCAACAGCAACGCACCTCAGCATGTTTGTTTAACAATATCATTTGTGTAATTAAAGTAAAAACAAATATGCTTCATCCCTTGCAAAATATGTTGCGGATGCGGAACATGAAAACAAATGCCGCAACATGTGAAACGTGTTTTTATCTTATCCTGTCGGTGTCTCCGGACATTTGCTGGTTTGATTTCCTGTTCGTGGGGAAAATGATATATTTTTAATTTTTTTTATACAATTTGAAGAATCCAATTTTCATGTATGACGTTTTCAGACAACGTTATATCGCCTTCTTTTCATTATTTTGCTATGAGAACTGCTGACATTTTTTCTTTCTCAGACCGGGGACCATATACCGTTCGTTAAAAGCATCAATTACATTTCGTTCTCTTTATGTTTATTTTAGTACTTATTGTTTTAGAAAAATAAACGCATGGCCCTACACGCAACACGGTTATACGCACGTACTTTGACAGGCGTGAGTTCCGATGATATATCCTGCTTCAATCACTTAATTATACATCGGCCTGTCCTTTACCCACAATCTCTCTCTCTCTCTCTCTCTCTCTCTCTCTCTCTCTCTCTCTCTCTCTCTCTCTCTCTCTCTCTCTCTCTCAACTATAACTATGTGAAACCCAAATCATATATAGTGTAGACAAAATATATAGCATCTATTGGCGATTTCGGATTTAACACTTTACTGAGAAATATTACCACGTCTATCTCTTCAGTTCGCCACACAGCATATCAAATTAATATCATATATTTATCATAATTATTATTAATTATTTAAATATTAACAAGAAAATTTATGAACCCGTTGTTGCTTTCCATTAAATGATACAACAAAGAAAGAATAAGACATCTTAAAAGCATCCTTTTTAAGTTAAATGGTTTCAGCGGTTACCTTGTCGAGTACTCGCACACACAATACCCACGTGTTTGTCTAAATCTGGCGATGCGTAATCGTCATGTGGTTTTCTAGGTCAGAGGTCATATCGCAAATCTTATGACGCAGATACAGGAACCACGCACAGACATACTTCACAATCCTCGCAACAGCTAGGTCGCTTGCTTCCTATGTTAAAAGTACAGTAATGATTCACCACCGGGCTAACTTCGTGAACAATTGGGGGGAGAGTTAAAGTGACACACGGTCGATCAGAGAGGCGCGCCTCTGTTGCATGGTGTTTACGTGTTCAATGATGATCTCAATCTATTTCGCAACCAGGTTATTTCCAGTTTGGACAAAGAAGAGAAATGAAAACTATTTCAATACATGTCTACGCCTATAAACTATATATGACACAGTTTTACGTAACATTGGGCGGTGTGTTTACAATAAGTATTTTCTGTACATATATGTTGATGTATATATGTAGGAATTTAAATCATCCACAAAAATCAATAATATTGTTGATAATGATTAGTGATGTAGACATACTTGTCCGTTTGTTATGTAAATCTTATAATTTAAACTACAGTGGCCATGCTGTACAATGACAATCAACGAACTTGCGAATTACGTCTTTACAGAGCTTCACGATGACAAATTTTGTAATCGTGTTTACTGAAAATCTGATAAAAATAACCAACAAATTCATTCTAATAATGTACCAGACCAAATAATTTAATTAGTTTCAAAAGACTTTTGATGCAAACATTTGTATGTGTTTAAAACATATTTTATTGACACAGTTTACATGAAATTGGAACAAATACTCTATACTTATGTTGAAACCTCTCCATAATAATAGAAAACCTACAATAATGTGATGATGATGATGATGATGATGATGATGATACTAAAACATGTTTGTACATTTAGATAAACATGAAAATGATGTTGATCTCTTAATGCCCCATGTGGGTTGTGAATTGAAAATATCAATATCTTATATACAAAGTATTTTGTTATCGGAGAGGTCTTCGGAGAGGCACTGCGACCTTTGACCAATCCAATTTCAAATTTTAAAAAAAATTAAAATATTGTTTAAAACACTTGTAGATATGACATTATGTAAATGCGTTAGGTTCACTTGTAAAAGTGGTTTTGTCACGATATAAATATATTTTCCGTGTACATGTTAGTTTCACATGATGTAAATATGTTATGTTCACGTGTACATGTAAGTGTGACATGATGTAAATATGTTATGTTCACGTGTACATGTAAGTTTCGCAAGATGTAAAAATGTTATGTTCACGTGTACATGCAAGTGTGACATGATGTAAATATGTTATATTCACGTGTACATGCAAGTGTGACATGATGTAAATATATCATGTTCACGTGGAAATTGCATTAAGTTACCGTTTACATGTTGGTTTGACAAACCATTCATGAACAGGTTCTTGGAACACTGGGTCAATAAACGGATATGACGAAGTCATTTACACAAAGTGGTCGAAGCTGATGATATCCATCTTTTAACTCACATACAGTAGTGGTAGTAAATGCCGTTTATGTGCATAACGAACCAATTTAGATAAATTACCTTGTCATACCTGTAACCACAGCAACGTACTCCGTGACGCATCAGTATTTATGACTGGATATGACAAAGTCAATTACATGAAGGTAATCGTCTTTACCGACGTCAACCTTACACTGCTATGTATAGGAGTGGTAGAAAATATTTTGTACACAAATTGTGAATTTCTCATGTAACCAACATATTGTGTTGAAATACGTTGTCATGTATCTGTAACCATAGTAACGTACTCCGTGAACACATTATTTATTACTGGATATGACGAAGTTACTTACATGAAAGTATTCGACTAAATCGACGTCAGTCTGACACTCATATAAATATAGCAGTAGTAAATATTTTATATTGTGAATTTGGCATTGAACCAACCTATTTTGATACAATATTTTGTCATGTGCATGCCCTCTCCTACATCTGCATGTCCGTGTACACGTCATTGTGTAAACCTACGGGTTAATGGTGCGTTCTTGTCTGTGAATCGATATGTTTGCGTTCCGCGTTAACCTAGCTGTTACCTGTAGAATCGGTGTTAATTGGCCCCTGATAAGACTTTGTCATTACCAGTGTTTAAGTGTGAAAACATACTCGGGTGTGGTATCTACACTGGGACCGCGTCGTATATACTCTAACACCAAGCTTACCATGTGATTCGCTGTGCAGAGTTGCGTCCCTTGGCCACGCCAGAAACCTATGATTGTGGGTTCGAATCCCGGTTCTCCCCAATTATGTTTCTAGGTTTGTCAGCACCATACCCGTGCTCGTGGGTTTCACCGAAGTGGTAACGTCTGGGCCTGCACCTCTTCGGGCTTTCCTCCCACATTAAGCTGACACGCCGCGATATAACTGGAATACTGTTAAAAGCGGCGTTACACCCAACTCACTCACTCACCCACTTAATATGTGAACGGGGTTTGGAATTACCAGTCACTGAAAGTACAACGCGCGCAGCTTAAAACCTGTGTCTTTCTGATGTCTGTTTGTCGAGCCACCCGTGCCCAACGTGTCCCCGAGTCTTGGTTTGAAGATAAAGCGATTGGTTGGTTGGTTGGTTGTTTAACGCCGCACTCAGCAATATTCCAGCTATATGACGGCGGTCTGTAAATAATCGAGTCTGGACCAGACAATCCAGTGATTGATATCATGAGCATCGATCCACGTAATTGAGATCGATGACATGCATCATCAACCAAGTCAGCGAGCCTGACCAACCGATCCCGTTATTCGCCTTTTACGACAAGCATAGTCGCGTTTTACGGCAAGCATGGGTTGCTGAAGACCTATTCTACCCCGGATCTTCACGGGTCTAAAGCGATTGACACTGGTAAAAACTGAAGAAAGCATACAGTTGAAACGCTGCAAACTTAAGGTCTAAAACACAACTATGATGTCAAATAAAGCACCATCTAATAACCATTTCTTGTTTGTTTCACTTTTAGCACAATCAAACGTGTGTATACTTTCTTTTGCACGACAGTTTACATGCCTGGTAAGACATTAGCTGTGTTGGAAGCGCGCTTAAAATCTCCAACATTCCTCTCTCTTTATTTATAATTTACGAAATTAAGTATATCATTTCTTACATTTGTATCATATTTTGTTGTTGGAATCGGACTAGCTCTCCCTGGTACCATATGTACAGATCCATTTATATAACCATTCATCTGTCTATTACACTAAACGAACGTTGATAGATGAATGTAGTTTATATTTGTAGTTTCAGTACCGTCGGTAAATACCGAAAGGCAACCCTGAAATATAGAAAAATAATCATCCCACTTATTTCTCTGGACCTTGCGATGCACCGGACCGTGCGGTGACAGAATAGATCCGTTGCATCCCATGTGTTTCGTAAGAACTGGCTCAGATGAGATTCTTATGATCACCATACGTGTTCCGACTCAATACGTGTCATGGTATACAGATATCAAGTGTGTTTTGCTCATAATATCAACTACTACTTGTTTAAAGACCGAGGCTCAATTATTTGCAAGCGCTCGTTATTTTCATTAAAATTGTTGATTGGCGTACAACAACACTTTTCTGACTTGGAATTTAACGAGCGCTTCCAGCTAATGCTGAATCAGCCATGACGACTGGTCCAGACTCAATTATTTACAGGCTGCCGGCAATGTAGCTAGGATATTGCAGACTGCGACGTTAACATTAGTCTGTCTTACAGACCCTGATACAAATATATATCATATACAGCCCATGCAAGTCTATAATGTTTGGCAAGCCTAGATCACTGCAGTATCTGAAAATGAAGAGAGTCACTGGGCTCCTTTTTATCATTTATCCTTATTTTTAACTGAACAAGTGTTTTTTTTATGTACGATATGTTCATTTCAGAGACTAGATTTTAGTCTACGTTAACATACAAACCTTAAGATCCAGCTCTCTAATCATTCATTGTCTTACAAACCCTGCAGATATCTTTCAC